ATCAAATTATTAATTTACAATTTAAAAAAATATAAAATATATATTATAAAGTAAAAGAGAGTTTTTATTTTCTTTACATTTTTTAAAAAGAATAAAGCATATAAACCTTTAAAAAATATTGTAAAATAACAAAAAATCCATGTAACAACTTTGTGTAATATCTACTGTCTCTGCTATACTACAGAATAAGATAGAGGTTAGATATAAAGATCCAAATATTAGTTAGCATAAGGTTTTTGGAGTCCTGAATATTTTTACTTAGTACCCTAAGATGTGTTAGCTAGTACGATATAATTCAACACCTGTGTACATTTTAGTAAACCCATTTTTATTTTTTTTTCTATAAAAAGGCATTGTGTTATTGGGTTAGTAATACTCTATTGTAAATTAATTACTGTATATCATTACAGCAATATATTGAAAAATATACAGTAATTCTGTTATTAAGTTATAGTGTTAGTATTAGGTGATAGGTCCAAAGTTTTCAATTCTCATTCTGTGATAATCAACTCCCAATAATAAAGACTGGCAGAACCGCCAGAATGAAAAAAGTAATTTTTTAATAAAAATTTAAGGGTATATAAATTTGCTATAGAGAAATATATTTTATGCTATAAAAAGTTTTACAATAATTGTAATAATTTCTACAAGAAAGAGTAATTAGTTCTTTTTAAATACAGATTCTTTAGATACGAGCCTTAATAAAATTCTCTTTATTTTGCAATTCACGATTGGCATCAAGGTATTATAAAACACATAAACTTCGTTTCTTTAAGTACAGATTTTTGCAATTGTTTTTTCTGTGTTCCAGCAAGACGCACTTGAAGAATTTGATGCAAAAATTAAATCAAATTGTCTTAAGTTTAATGTAGTGAACGTAAAAATTTAGGAATAGAACAAATTACTTCGTAAGTTCGTTATGGGAACGAATTCGTCGAACTGCGATGGCCGTCATGGTCATGTCGATTTTTTAATTAGATTTCTTTGTTTTAGATAAATATTATTTATGACCGTCTCAAACAATTGTCATCCATAGGTCGTATAGCTTTAATGCAACCGAAAATTATTTGTTTACCTGTCAGTTTGGGCGGCAACTATACATAATTATACATATTCATTATTAATAATGATAGTATTGTTAATTTTAGTATGTATGTATTAGCAATGTTCTAAGTACGTACATATATTTGACAGTAAGATTAAAACAATGAATGTATTTAGAGGGAACTTTGTACTTTAGGTATGTATGCTTCGGGGACAAAAAAAATTATTTTAAAAAAACCAGCATTTGAAGAGAATTTATACAACGCCTGCACTTAGATGATACAAACATCAAAGGGGTTTTAATAATTCATTAATAATAAAGTCTTCGTGTTTTTGTATTTAGCGTTAGAGATTTGCGTTTCTCAAATTTTTTTTAGAATACTGGCTTGAAGGTGTATCACGTACCATGTACAACCATGGATTGATATATAATGCGGTTAATGTCCCTCACAATTTTTATTGTATCTTCTTTTTTGCACAAATGGATTCCTGGCTCAAATATATATTAATTGTGCTATTACTCCCATATTTTTTATTAAGTAATTTAATCTCTGCCAATACAGAAAAAGAAGTTTTTATATCCACAACTGAAATCATTCCAGAATCCCTTTTCCATGAAGTTGACGACTGGAGTGTGCAAGAAGGGCTTGTGGTAGGCTTATCTAATTATTAAATTTATTTTTTGAATGAATTCTAAAAGAAACATAACGAATAAAATATTGCTCTATAAAGACTTTAAAGCCACCATATACAATCCAACGTTACGAACGCGTCATACCTTATAAAAACTCTGAAGAATTCAAAAGTACGGAGCGCAGTGACAAAGAAAATTGGTATATTCTTGACGAATTAGAAGAAGAGAAGACTTATGAGACGAGAGTGTCTTATGCTTCAACAGTGCGTGTTTATCATGTTGTATTTGGCTAGTCAATTAAAAATTAAAAAATTAAAAAATTCAATTTACTACAATTTGCAATAAGTCGCCTACAATCTTCGTGTTAAATATAATGGATTTTAAAGAAGTAATGAAAATCATACGAAAAAATAACGCGACCGATGATGAAAAGGTAATTGAAATTGAAGCATCTGTTTTTCATAACATTCCTATATGTTTACACTTATGATTTATACAAGACTTCTCATCCGAAGTTGAGCACTACAAAAAAATTTCTCCGAGTGAGAGCAATTTATGATGGTGTGTCTATCCATCATGGCAGAGGTTCTAGACCTGTAATTTACAACGTTGGTAAGACAATTTTAACTTTTTTTTTTTTTCACTTTGCTAATAAATAAGAATTTTACTAATTCATATTATTCGTATAGTATTGGAAACGCTTGTATACGGAGTTCCACGAGTGGCGTTCAATTTAATATTTGTTTTGGCCATCATTATAGGAATTGCCAATTTTATATTAGTGCCAAAGATATATAAAGCTTTGCGAAATATTACAGAAGACAAAGATAAAGATAAAAAAGAATAGACTATAAATAGATTACATAATTTTATTCTATAATCTCTGAGAGATTTAAGGAATGCAAATCATAATTATAATTGAGCTTTTAATCATTGAAATAAAAATGTCAAATTGGAATTGCACGATATAGTTGTATTTTAGGATTCATTGAGTGATTCTTCTGAGTGATTTATTCTTTCAAGTCGACATTGCGTTAATTGACTTAGTTGGTTTAGCTGGCTAAATTATTTAATCCTTTAAAAATTCTGTTTAGTCAACTATGTAAATGTACAATGTAATTATAGATCGCGTCCTGCAATACGCCTTATGTATCGTTGACCAATCAAGATTCATGCGCGTAGGCAAATTTTTCTCATGTTG